AGAAATCAAGGATTTAAAATTCCCCGGTGATTCTAATGTGCAGCCAAGGTTGAGAACCACTGGTCTACAGGGACTTTAGAGGTCAGCAATTTCCAAGCTCTACTTTTAAAAACTGTAAAAAGAAAAAAAAAATCAAATGTTACATACATCCCAAATTAACTAAGATGGAACTGTTACCAGAATTGGACAATCACCTAACATAATGCCTTCATCTCGGTACATTCCCTGCAGCACTAACCTGAGTATGAAGTCCTAGCCCAATAGGTTCAATCAGATTTCCAAAAAATAAACGTCCTTAGTTACTACCCACCGCAACCCCCAAGCCAGACTTTTGAACAAACCATAGCCTAGGGAGAGACCGAGAGAAACATCGATTCGATGAACTCACCCTGGAGGTAAGGGGATCTAGCCTGCAACTGAGGTTCGTGCCTTGACCAGAATCAGACTCTGGACAAGGGCCGACATTCTCACCACTGAGCCAAATTGGCTAGGGCTGGGGCTAATTTTTCTTCTTTTAAAAAAATATTTAATTCAGAGAGGAAGGGAGGAGAGATCAATGATGAGAGAAAATCATTCATTGGCTGCCTCCTGCACGCCCATCTGGGGATTGAGCCTGCAACGTGGGCATGTGCCCTGACCGTCATCAAACCAGGACCTCCTGGTTCATTTTTCATAGCTGAACCACTGAGCCACGCCGACCCGGCTGGGGCTAATTTCTTAACCCAAAATTTCCACAACTGAAATTTTTAGTTCCCGATTTCTCTTAAAAATAAAGCAAATATGAAAACTTAAGCCATCACTAATGAGTACAGAAATTATACTGAGATTAAGTCCATTTAAATCAGTTTATAAAAATCTATGCAACACTTACCTATATAGTGTATGTAACAGGTAGTTTCTCTTTTTTTTTGGACTAATGCTGACCCAAATTTATATTATGAATTACAGTCACTGAATTTCTCAAAATGGAATGAATATAGTGACCCATAAACATGAGCTTGAACTGTGTGGGTCCACTTATGTGCAGAATCTAAAAAAGTCTTCTGTACCTCTGGGTTTTGCATCTGTGGATACAGGAGGCCAAAAGCATGCCTTGTCTCACACCATTTTATAAGGAACTTAAGTATTCAAGGGAGCCCTGGGACCAATCCCCTAGGGATACTAGGAACTTAAGTATTAAGAACATTAGCCCTGGCCGGTGTGGCTTAGTGAGTTGAGCATTGTTCGATTCCAGGTCAGGGCACATACCTGGATAGTGGGATCCATCCGATCAGAGTGTGGGGCAGCTGATCAATGTTTCTCTTTCATGATGTTTCTCTCTCTAAAATCAACAAAAACATATATATACATATAAAAATGAAAAAAATTTAAGAAAAAAAAAAAGAACAAAGTTAAACACAAACTTCTGGCGGCATGGGGGCTCAGCACCCCAGACTCGTAAGGGACAACCGTACCACCCTCCTATTAGAGTCAAGACCAAGGGTTCTCTTTCAAGCTTTTATTTAAGGGCACGGATTCAGGATGGATTTTAGATCTTGTTGAAAGCAGCCACGTCCATGGACTGCACATAGTCCTCAAAAGCAGTGATCTGCTCCTCCAGCATGTCTGTTCCAACTTTATCGTCTTCCACTACACACTGAATTTGAAGCTTTTTAATTCCATACCCCACTGGAACCAGTTTAGCTGAAAAGAACATTAAGAAAAATCTTAGAGAAGTTCTGTTCATCGGCAAAGATTGAAATTATGTAAATTTCTGATGCCAATTTCAATTAAGAAAGGTTGAACTCACAAGAGCCCCAGACCAAGCCGTCTGCTTGAATGCTCCTGACACATTCCTCTAGTTTTGCCATGTCTGTCTCATCATCCCAAGGTTTCACATCTAATAAGATGGAAGACTTGGCAACAAGTGCAGGTTCTAAAAAAAATAAGAAACAGCATTAATTATGTCTTTTTTACCCTAGTCCAGACACAAACCTCTTTTTTAAATATATTTTTATTTATTTCAGAGGAAGGGAGAGGGAGAGAGAGGTAGAAACATCCATAATGAGAGACATCCCACACTGGGGATCGAGCCTGCAACCCGGGCATATGCCCTGACTGGGAATCAAATCATGACCTCCTGGTTCAGAGGTAAATGCTCAACCACGGAGCCACGCCGGCTGGACCACAATAAGTCTTGAGTTTCAAAATCATCTTAGCCACACAAAACTATGGGATACATCTCATGTTTGTCACACATATGCCCCCTTTCTGTTTTGCTAAGAAAGAGGTGTTTAATCGTGTAACAATTTCTTTCCCACAGAGGAATGCCACAACTGCCACCATGAGAACAGCTGCAGACCAGTAGCTGTGGAAGTTCTACAGAAAGTTCTGAAATACTGACCTAGTCAGTAAACGAGGAAATTACTTTGGGGATTAATCTTTGAAGAAGTTTATTCACACTATTATGAAATGAAGACAGTTATAAAATGACCTACTTTTGGCTTTCTTTGATTCATACTGTGCAAGGCGTTCTTCTCTTAGCCTCTTTGCTTCTTCGCTTTCCTGTAAAGAAAAAATGTAATATATTTCACAAAGTTGGTTGTTCCTCAGGTTAGAGATAGGGAGGTCATCACAACAAATACCAGCTTTATCAGAAAAAAAAGCAAATCCATCATGAGCTTAAGTTCAGCCGAAAGATGGTGATTTGATTTCATTCATCACGTAACCAGCCGAGAATTTTGTAAAAGCCAGCGATACAGTGAAGCCAGGATTCAAACCCAGGCAACGAGGCTACAGAGCCTGCGCTTCAGCACGAGGACACACTCACACTTACTGGTGCCATACCTCCTCGTCGTCAGACCCAAAGAGGTCAATGTCGTCGTCGTCGTCTTTGCTGTCGCCAGCTCCGCTTCCCGTGGTGTCTTCCACGTTGGCAGGGCCATACTTGCCCAAAGCTTTCTTCACTCCGGGCAGGCTTAAAAAAAAAAAAAATAATAATTAAATGTAACTATATGGGGGATACAACTTTTTTCAGAAAACGCAGGAGGCCTTGTTTTCATCATTATTTACCAGCAGGACCCACTGAACGCTCCCAGGTAAGTGCTTCCCTGAGCTGTAACTCCTCGCCCAACAAACACTGGTAGCGTGTGAGGCCGCACATCCCGTACTCACTAGCGTTTACCCAGTGGTTCTCAACCTTCCTGATGCCGCCACCCTTGAATACAGTTCCTCATGTTGTGGTGACCCCCAACCATAAAATTATTTTCGTTGCTACTTCATAACTGTAATTTTGCTACCCTTATGAATCGTCATGTAAATATCTGATATGCAGGATGTATTTTCATTGTTACATATTGAACATAATTAAAGCATAGTGATTAATCATAAAAACAATATATAATTATACATGTGTTTTCCGACGGTCTCAGGCGACCCCTGTGAAAGGGTCATTGGACCCCCGAGGGGGCCGCGACCCACAGGTTGAGAACCACTGGTTTACGCTTTCAGGACGAGTGTTTCTGTTTTGAGATTCCATTACGTGTGCTCAGTTCGCGAGTGAACTGGAGCCCACGTCCCCAGACGTCCACCCTGGCCGGCAGAGGTTCACATGTAACCTCTTGAATTCAGACAGGAAGGGAGAATGGGAGAATTTCACAAGAATGGCCCAGGCCCGACCCCCGGAGCCACCCTCTCACCCCAGAGAGGGTCCCCCCGGGGCTGGGCAGGGGCACCTGGGCAGGGCAGCGTGGGGGTAAGGTGAGCTGCTGCCGTCCACGGGCTACCTGGGAACACCGACGGCTGCAACCTCTTCCTAAAGTCGCAGAGGAAGTGAGCTTACAACACCCCAGCATAAGGCCAGGCGCCTGGGTCCGGTCCCGCCCCGTGAACACCTTAAAGCTCCAGGTACACACACCGGCGGATTTACCTGGCCTTCTCCTTCTCGTAGGACTTGATGTGGTTGTACCAGCGCAGCGCATGGCACAGGTCGGCGGGCGGCGGGCCGGACACGGCTTCGAACACGGCCACGTCTGCCTGGGACGGCACATACCTGGGAGGGCACAGAACATGACACACAGCTCCCCGGGCCCAGCCCGTCCAGCTCATCGGGGCATCTCCCCGCGTCACCGGGCCGCCTGAGCGGCGTCCGAGTTGTAGGCAAACGGGCTCTTTAAGGGAAGGAACCACCTGTTCTGCTGGAGCCTGGGGAATGCCTGACACTTGTTAGACCTCAGAGGCTGCGGTCTTTATGATAGACCGACGGGCTTCCATTTACTGAGCAAGGACGCGGAAAAAGCTGGGTGAGATCCAGCAAGGGCTAGGAAATAAAAAAATAAAAGCAGCTTTTGGACCCTCTTCCCCCTGAGCCCCTCCCCGAGGAGGGCCGCGGCCTGGCTGCCTGTCCCCGGCGGCCGGGAGGCCGCGCCACGTGGTCCCGGGCGCACCCGGCCCGCCCCGCGCTCCGCTCACCCCTCGATGTAGCTCTTGTCCGCCAGGTAGTTGTTGAGCACCTGGAGGCCGGACGGGCTTCTGAGGTCTCCAAAGCCCATGGCGTAGCTGACCCGGGAGCTGGGCGGCAGCAGAGGGAAGCGGGACGCGGGCTACAGCCAGCGAGCGCCAAGAGGGGAAAAAGGGCCGCCAAAAGCCGGAAAACTCCTTATATAGAGACGGAGGCGTTTCCCTCCGCCGCCAAGGTTAAAGGTCAAAGTACGTTAACCTTCTCGTTCCTCAACATAAAAACCGGGCTCTGGCTTAAACGGCCCACAAATTTACCGGGGGTCTTTCTTTGTGTTGGGATATAAACTAATAGAAAGGGCATTTCTTTAATGAGTCCCTCGGCGGCCCCCCCTCCCTGAAGATCACAGGAACCGCCCCTTGAACCACCGGAGATGACCGAAGAGGGTCGGCCTCAGCCTCCCGGGCACTTCCGGCGGAACTGCAGGTCCAGGCCTCCAATCCCCACCTCCTCCTGGCAGGCCACGCCCTTCGCCCTGCTTTCTGTCAAATCGACGGAAATTGCCGAACTGAACCTGAGCGGGGCGGGAATTGGCGCAGCTGAGGTTTCTAGTCCCTCCTGGCTTCCCGTTCTCCAGGCCCGGCTGACGGAGGTCGCCGAGGCCGCCATATTGAATAAGCCTCCGGGCGTCTAAGGGGGTCGGTGCGGTGCAGACAGTTCTGCCGAGTGCCCTCGGCGGCTCCAGACAGAAGGTGAGGACGTGTTTGGGTGCGAAGGTTGAGGTGCCATGGCCTCAGGAGGTTATTTCTTGACAAAACTTTGCTTTGGCCCAAGAGACTCATTTCCCCCTTGTCCTTGACTGGGCGCTGCGTCCCACCCCGCCTCCCCGGGAGCCCCCGAGGGCCGGCCGGTGAGGTGTGCCGGCCCTGGTCTCTGGTCTGCTGGAGCAGGAAAGAAGCAGGCCGTGGGGAGCACTGGCCCGAACGCAGGCTTAGAGTGACCTTCGCTCCGCAGGGGAAATGCAGGACGTGCCCCTGTCTGGAGGAGAGGCCGTTTTGTTCCCTGGACGGGGACTTGTGTCCAGTGACTTCAGCCTACGGACGGAGCATTTTCTCCCCAGTCAATACTTAGCTGGTCCAGTGCGTACGGTATTGCCTTAGCAACCGTCCACGCCTCTGACTGTTGGTTTGTTTTTGGTTTTGTCCATTGTGCGCGTTGGGTAGCGCTTTTTGGTCCTTTCGCCGGTGGGGAAACTGGAGGAGAAGACATGAAAAGTTAGAGCCCAAGGTCGCGCTGCGAGCAGCAAAGCCGCCCTGTTGGAAAGGTCTTGGGCTCCCGGGCCTGACTGCAAGGTGCTGGGTCGGACACAGCCCTGCTCCGAAACGAAAAACACATCCTGCGTATCAGATATTTACATGACGATTCATAAGGGTAGCAACATTACAGTTATGAAGTAGCAAGGAAAATAATTTTATGGTTGGGGGTCACCACAACATGAGGAACTGTATTCAAGGGTCGCGGCATTAGGAAGGTTGAGAACCACTATGAGAACTACAGTGTAGACAGTGTAGTGAACTGTTTCTGATGACTCAACATCAAGAGTTTTTTTGTTGTTTAATGGTCTCCCCCCCCTGCCCCCAATGTGTGTGTGCGTCGTTGCTGTGTGATTTTTGAATCTGTCATTACTCTGAATTCAGCCAATTCAGGTTTACCTCGACATCCGTAGGTTTTAATGGGACAGATGCTATTCATTCTGGAAATGGGTGATTAGCCCTATTTGATGGTTTTTTAACCCCAGGGACCTGGTGTTAAGTCTTCAGAAGAAGGAAGTGACCAAAGGGCATTATTTCTTGTGGAGGAGCCTACAGTTAGTTGCTAACCTGCAGTTTACTATGTGGAATGAAGATGTGTGTGCAGTGTGCGCCGAGAGTGTGAGCAAGAGCACGAAAGAGCACTTTTAAAAACCGCTCGTAGGTGGCCAGTCCTGCCTAAATGCACTTCCGCTAGCACAGCCTCGGAAGTACTGTTTTCTGCTCTTTAGATCAGCAGAAACTCATGCACCAAAAGCCACTCGCAAGTAGGCGACAGACCTGATATCTGCAAATCCAGTATCACAGGTTCAGAACTAATGAATTTTATGAATTATTGAAATCTGACTCACTGAAATTCCCTATGATATATCATCTGTAACAGGTGTGTGAAACTTGATGCTTAAAACTTAGGTATACTAGGTACACAGGGTGCCCCAAAATACGTATACACGCTTGAACAGCAAGTAGCTGTTAAATGAAAATGAAATGTGTCTTAGTAAACTGCCTTTAAAATTATATTCAAAGTGTGTATACATTTTTCGGGATGCTCTGTACATTATTTTCCACTCTCTTTACCTTTGAAATTCTTTATGTTGATATATTCTGATCACATAACTTGCATTTTTAAAAATTCCAAAGTGAAAAATTATAATTTGGATGCTTAGCCCATCTGATCAAGTGAATGGACCAAAACCTCTAAAAGTTCAGCTAACTTTTGTTTGCTCATGTATATGTCTTTAATTGTTGTTTACGTAATCCACTTCTGTGTATTTCAGTAATTCGGCAAACCTTTCAGAGCAGGGTTTTTCAACTTGCAGCACTCGACACTTCGGATAACTCTTAGGGGACTGCCCTGTGCATTGCAGGATGTTTAGCGTGCCCTGGCCTTGCCCCTCGATGCCTGTAGCCTTCCCCAGTTGTGACAACAGTGTGTCCAGGCATTGCCAAATGTTCTCTGGGAAGCAAAATTCTTCCTGGTTGAGAACCAGTGTTTTAGATCCTACTGTGTCAGCCTTGGGGCTAGGCATTGAAGATAAGTTCATAATGCAGTGGGAGTAGAACAGATAATTGCAAATCTGTAAGTTCAATGTACTACTCAGCACAGAAAATGGCACTCCAGACACTTGTGAGCTAGCTCAGAATATCTCAGGAGCATTTAGTATGTAATTGCTAAGAATATTAAAAGGCATATTGTTAGGAAATGAAGGTAGAAAGGTAGGCTTTACTTTACATAGATATTAATGATAAGCTGTTATTCTTGAAATTTGTTTTACTGTATAATAGTATTTTAAGTGTGATAATTTGTTAATAGTTAAAAACAACAAATTTGCCCTTTACATAGAATTAGAAGGCCCAAATTTACATACCAGCTGCTGCTTCTTAGCTCCTTGACATGGTATAAGTCAGTAATCTCTTTGAGACTGAATATTCTCATCTATAGAATTTGAGGGAAAATATCAGGATTTGTCAATGTTCAAAGAAATAATGTATGTGGAATGTTTTAAAACCATAAAATATTACCAAAAAGTTTATAATTAGGGTTCTTCCTACAATAATATAACTCTTCTTTGTTTCATTCTTAGCAATATGTTAAGGATACCTGTGAGAAGGGCCTTAATAGGCCTTTCTAAGTCTCCTAAAGAATATGGTGAGTTGTTTTTTTTTAATTTGCATTTGTTTGTACTCAACTTTCTATTTTTATAAATTCATAGATCTGTGGAATGTTTATTGAAAGACCCTAAACTCTTAATTTGTTTGAAATAAAAATAGAAACAAATGGCCCAAGTCAAGTAGGATAATTTGGGAATTATAACTTTACCTTAAACAGTTTATAGAAATCTTCATGGAATATAAAGTAACTGGAACTGCCCATCAGTGCCGCAAATGAAAAGAAACAGTCATTCTGCTTTTGAAAAGTGGTCTTCCCATGAACATATTTTTAGTGGTATTAAAAGTTTTAACTTAAATTGCTATTAAAAGTAGACAACTATATTCTGTTTGGTATTCAAGATTAAAAAGCTTTTTGGGTAATTCATTAATTTAAAAGTCTGAATCTATAGAAATTTTAGGCTTGTATGTTAGAGTTAGTTAATCCATTATCCTCTGCTATAATGAATTCAACTATATTAATCTATTTTTCACTTCAATATTTTTGATGGTCAGTTCGAACGACAGCCACAGCAGCAAGCAACTTAATTGAAGTATTTGTTGACGGCCAGTCTGTCATGGTGGAACCGGGAACTACCGTCCTCCAAGTAGGCATATGTCCTAATTCTCTACTTTTGTGTATGTTCTGCTTTTTAGAAAAATACCAGTTTATTTCTTTATACTGTTTATTTATCTCTAAAATTTTTAAGATTCCTTGATAAATACTCATAAAAGCACTATAGGTACATGAAAATAAGTTTGATTTGAAATCTTTGAAATCTTCCAAAGTGAGCTGTCATTTATGTTTCTGACTTTCTTTTATTTAAAATTTATGTTATTGATTAAAGAGGTAAACATAGATTGGTTGTTCCACTTACTTATGCATTCATTTCTTTTACGTGCCCTGACTGGGGATCGAACCTGAAACCTTGGCATATCAGATCGACACTTACTAACTGAGCTTCCCAGCCAGGGCTGATTCTCACTTTCTTAGTGAACGATGGCAATTCTTTTGTTTCACTTCTGCCTTCCAAAGAAATGCTCATTAAGAAATTTGAAGTTACTTAAAATTATTAGTTAATATAGGTAAGTTTGGGGGGAAAGTAACCTCTGTTTGTTGTGAGCCTGCTTGATGTTTTGACTTTCATGTAACCTTTCTATTTTCAGTATATTGCTAGGAATATAACCTTCAAAACAGGTAAGTGAAGGCCAGTACATTCTTGAATATTTAGTTTCTCCAAATTTCTCCAGAACTAAGAAAATTGTTCATGCAGAAGTGGTGCATTGTTGCATCTGCAAGTTATCACAGAGCCAAGTGCTGTGTATTCATTTTAGCCACCATTTCTGGACTGTCTGCCAGGTATAGACATGTAAACAATAAATACAAAACAAAAATATGTTCAAGGTACAGTGCAGAGTATTTTGGCAGGTATAGGAGGTGGTAGAAAGAGATGTGAGGAGCATCTCGGGTGATTCCTGAGGAGATTTGAAAGGATATAGACAAGGTTTGCATTGATGGAACATAAGGTATATGTAGAAGATGAGATAACAGGAAATCAAGTTATTCTGTAGGGAAGGTCCAGTCATGAAAGAAGATATAAGCCATGTTAAAGAGCTTGTAGTTTCACCCATCAGGAGTTTTTGTGGCTATTGAGCAATATGTCAGTGACAGTAGGATGATGGCTTGGGAGAAAAACAAGACTGGACTGAGAGATAAGGAAAGAGTATCTTGCATTAGTGGAGGAGGAAATGAAAAGGCCTAAAATAGATGGTAGCAATGGGAATGAAAACAAGATGTTAGAGTTAAAGGAGAGAGAGGGGTAGATAGGCCTTTAGGAAGATGAAGAGCAGAGGAATTTTTGTGGATTCTTTGTTGGCTTATTTGGGGTGAATTAGTAGGGGACAGAAATAGGTTGAATTTTAACTCTTTGGAGCATACACTTGCATAAATGCCTTTTTAAGTCTAAAGCTTGGAGAAGAGAGAACTCTGGGCTGCAGATGAAGAATGTGAGATATTACAAAGGCTGCGATAATATCATTTACTGCATCTAGCAAGTAGGAAGACTACATTTGCTAAGTAGTTAAAACATTGGACATTGCTTTAGAGCAGAGGTTCTCAACCTGTGGGTTGCGACCCCTTTAGGGTTCAAACGGCCCTTTCACAGGGGTCGCCTAAGACCATCGGAAAACATATAATTACATATTTTTGTGATTAATCACTATGCTTTAATTATGTTCAATTTGTAACAGTGAAATTGGGCGTCACCACAACATGAGGAACTGTATTAAAGGGTCACGGCATTAGGAAGGTTAAGAACCACTGCTTTAGAATGAAGGCTAACTCTAGAGGAAATTTGAATATACTTATTGTAGGCTCAGAGAAGGAGGAGTGCTAATTGGTAGATAGAACTAATCCCTCTTACTAGGCAAACAGGAACTGGGAAGAGCTTCAGTCACAGTGGGGGTGTCAGTCCTGAGTTGGGTATTTGGAGTCAAAGCTAGAACCAGATCATAGCCAGCGAGGCTGTGTGAAGTGGAGTCTCTAATCTAAAGGAGGAGGCAAAGAAGATGTCCATGTATGAAACCACTGGGATAGAGTTTGAATGGGAGTCGTGAACAGTGGTTGAGAGTGGAAATGGGGAATCAAGCCTTCAATCTGAAGCTGCTTCATTTAGTTTCTTCCATGTAAAGTGTAGACATGGCTGTGGATCCTTAAAGAGGCAGCTTCAGAGCAGACTGAGGTTGGAATCAAGAGCAAAGAAAGGAAATCTCTTCAGGGATGAAGAAAGAATGAATGAAAATACAGATATTTATAAATAGGACTAATAAGATAGGTAGGAGGATGGCCTCACCCTCCCTCCCGTGTTTTAGGCTCAACTAGAACGAGGTCAGGTTATTCTAATGCAAAACTTTTTTATTTGTTGTCTTCTAGGCTTGTGAGAAGGTTGGCATGCAGATCCCTCGATTCTGTTACCATGAAAGGCTGTCAATTGCTGGAAACTGCAGGATGTGCCTTGTTGAAATTGAGAAAGCTCCTAAGGTACTTGATACCTAAAATTCCACTCCATGCTGTGGAAGATAGAAAACTTTAAATCTCACAGCAAACTGTATTTAGAATCACTATTATAGTGGAGAATCTAGCCCTGTTTACTTCTTTCTATGAATTAATTTTGTGGATGATTGATTCTCTTCAAAAGTGGAAGCACATTGATGAAAGTGCTTTGTAAACACAAGGGCTATAAAATTCTAAAAAATTTAGAAATTAAAGGTGTCTTTTTACAGCTGTCAGTATTTCCAAATGGCTATATGACACACAACTGGGATGTGGAGTTGCTAAGCAGTACATCAGAAGTGCTTATGTTGTGCCGTTTTCAGTAGAGAAAAGGGTAGCAGCGAAGAGCTTCACTTTGAGTTTAATTTCATTTTGGCCTATGCAGTTTTAATTCAGTAGTGCCCGCTAATCAAAAAGCAGCTTTGTGATGTTCTGTTTCAGACCCTTATAGAAAATCGCATTGGTAGAATAAAATTAAGATGTAGGATGTCTTATTTGTTTCTAAAAGAAATGTAAAGTGTCCGATTATCATATTGTGAATATGAAAGTTAAAAAATTCAGTCTTCAAAAATACTCTCTTTTTTACTTATTTTCAGAAGTATAATGTTTTTATATGTTGGTTACTTATAATTACAAATAAATACAAATACTTACAGATGTTTCTATTGAAATTTCAGGTTGTAGCTGCTTGT